TGATGGTGTGGTGAAGGTGAAGGCGGTAGTGGTGATGGTCGTGGTGGTGGTGGTGGTGAAGGTGATGGTGATGGTGATGGTGATGGTGATGGTGATGGTCGTGGTGGTGGTGGTGGTGGTGAAGGTGATGGTGGTTTTTGTGTTGTCGTCGTCGTCGTCGTTGTTGTTGTTTATGTTATGATTATTGTTGTTGCTGTTTATGCTGTTGCTGTTGCTGCTGCTATTGTTGTTGTTCCTGTTGCTACTGTTGTTGTTGTTGTTGTTGTTGTATTAGTTGTTGCTGTTGTAGTTATTGCAATACGTCACGGTACGACAGCTTGGGGTGGAAGAATGAGGGGGAGGGGGAGGTGGCGGTTATGTTCGTGGTGGTGGTGAAGGTGATGATGATGGTGGTTTTTGTGTTGTCGTCGTTGACGTAGTCGTCATCGTCGTCGTTGTTGTTTTTATTATGATTATTGTTGTTGCGATTTCTACTGCTGTTGTTGTTGTTGTTGTTGTTGTTGTTGTTGTTTTAGTTGTTGCTGTTGTTGCTGTTGTTCTTGTTGTTGCAATACGTTACGGTACGACAGCCCGGGGTGGAAATTGGGGTGGGGAGAGGGGTAGGTAAAATAAGATCACATGTACATCAATCTTTATTGTCCAGATCCTGGCAAATTAGTTTGGTGTTTTATTACGTACACACAAACACACACGTGAGCACACGCGCAAACACACACACACACACACACACACACACACACACACACACACACACACACTCTCTCTCTCTCTCTCTCTCTCTCTCTCTCTCTCATTCTTTCCCCAACTCTTTATCTCCTTCACTTTGTTTCTCCCCCCACTTTCTCTAGCTCCCTCTCTCTCCCGTCCCTCTCTCTCAAAACTTAAAAACATAAAAACCCAACAAAACAAACGCAGCACCCGTAGCGATTACTCAACATGTTTGGCTTGAATAATCCCCCGTTGCACTGTCTGCGCAGAAAGCACATTGATTGTTGGGATGAAAAGAAAACAGGTCACAGACGCTTGTACGTGTGTGTGTGTGTGTGTGTGTGTGTGTGTGTGTGTGTGTGTGTGTGTGACATACTCTGCCTGGTTCCCCGAGCATTATGACTCACAGTTCGTGGGTCATCCAGGGACACAGGGACCACCACTGCGTAATACAAACACTTTGTCACCCCTCAATAAAGTGTAGTAAGCTGGAGCCGGGCAAATACCCGTTTCTTAAGAACCGGATCCGTTGCGCGAATTTTGGCCAACTTTAGTGTTGGCCTTGGACATGAGGTGGAAAAAATATGTGGGTTGGGTATTCACGGAATCCCCCCCAACCCCCCCAACAAAAACAGAGGGTAGTTATCAGATGTATGAGAATGAATGAATGAATGACTCAACAATTCAAACAAAGCCCCCACGCCACACGCACGCACACACTTTCCTCAAGGGAAAAAAACCCACCACAACACTGAATCACACACACAGACACGGGCACAAGTACACACTTACAGATACGGGTATTGAATCCCTCACAGATTTATTTTGGAGCAATTTAACCCGCCTTTGTTGAAGAAGGGTAGAAGCAAGAAGAAAACCGAAGCTCTATAAAGCTTACTTGAAAGACATCAATGATGAACTTCAAAGAGATCGATATGTCGATACAAGGAAAAGGGTTGCGCAAGCATCCGGATACAAATGGGCACAAATTGGAAGACGAAGAGGTCAGTAATCTGATATTGGGTGTTCCGCGTATTGAAGAAAGGCGCAATCGACGGACAGTGGTACACCCCTGGGAACTAATTGCCTACCAGAACGGTTAGGTTTAGTGATAACTTGTGGAGAGCTCGCGTTAGTTCGTTTCTCGGATAGAGATTCATTTTGGAGAGAAATGGTTAGAGAGAGAGAGAGAGAGAG